GCCGCCATCTTGGCTGACAGTTAATTTGCATATCTCGCTGATTAGCCAATGGGAAGGGTAGCGGTCGTACGCCAATTACCATGTTTCTCTTTTATTAGTGTAGATTCTGTCATTAACTTTGGACCTCAGAAACTTCACCAGAAGTAGTGAAAACATGCCTGCCTTATACTCAGGGGCTATTTTTGATCTAAAGGTTCAAGCTTTTCTGTGTATCTGAGGAAAACTTTCTTTTACTGGTAGGAAAATTCTGCTCCTCCACCCCCCTTTTCTCTCTCTTTCTGGAACTCTTCCCACCCCGGGCAAGCCCCCACCGCCCCAGTGTCTAGTGTCCATTGGTTATGCTAATATGGATATTGGGCTTCTCAATTGATCATTGGTATCTCTTAATTTCCATCTGTTTGGTTTCATCAGTTGGAATAGTCAAGTTCTTTATTAGTCTGATTCTAAAGGAACACTCAACTTGGTTATTCAAATCACGAATATTGTTTTCAACATCTGTTCCATGTTTTTGCCCTTCTCTTAGAGATATTCATATTTTTATTTCTAAGAACTCTTGTTTTCAACACCCACCCCTTCATAGCTGTCTGCCTCTGCTGCAAGGAAGATGGCAATGTTCTGTGAATAATGGATGCAGGTCTCAAAATGCATTTAGTCTCACCTGCTTTATATGGGTCAGAAACTCCTCAAAGAATTTCTGCATCTACTGATGCAAAACTTACCTGACTTCCAGTTCCTATATTATGCTTATTTTCATATGTCTTCTGTCATTGCCTGGCATGTTGCAATTGGATTTTGTAAATCCACCATTTATCATGGGTTTGCAGCAAAGTTGCAAAGGATAGTCCCACAATCCACCAACTTGTAATCACATGGGAATTTGGTTTTTAATCTGACGAACATAGAAGACCTACCTTTACAAACAGCTGTCTGAACCCTGGCGCTCCATTTTCCAGAGGTGGTACATTGCAATTCTTCTCTGACTCCAGCTAAAATGTATCCTTCGTGGCAACTTAGCTGACAAACGGTCCCAGGTTTGGCTGGCTGCCTGCCGCAGCTGGCGGGGGACACGATGACACCTTTGGGCGTCTGAAAGGTGGCGCACTGGCGCTCTACGGTATGGAATAAGGAAATGAGAGAATGTTCTTTTCGTTCTCACAAATTGCAAATGCCACACATTCTCTTTACCCAACAAAAGTACTGACAACGCTGGTCAGGCCAATGTCTTTCAGTACTTATAACAGTAGGTATGGCATTGTTACTGCACTGAGTATTTGTTTAATAGTACATTTTATTCCTCTGTATCAGAGCGATCATCTCTTCTCGGTATGATAACATCAGTTTTTCTGAGCCTGCACAGTGAGGGTCGACTGTAAATGAATCCCCTAGTAAGTCCAATGTCCCTCCTGGTCACGCCCTCCCTTATGATCACCCAAGAATCGAGTACTAGATTATACTAGAATAAAGGTGTAAATCAATTTTGGACGACCTGGCATATTTATAGCATCTAGTTTTCCCATCTTAGGTCCTGGCACATCTTAATTTTTTCCATACATGTAGTTCTTCTTCTCCCTTTTTTTGGAAGTTGTGTATTTCATTACATACCTGCTAATACTCCTAGGTTACTGTATCTGACACATAGTAAGGTTTCACTAAATAGTAGTTGTAAACATCTCATCATATTATCATAACTATTGTTATTTGTATCTACAGTGTATAAGAAGCAGAAAACTGAACAAGCTACTGAATTTATTCATTCGGGACCCAACTGCAGTAGCGAGATGTCACAGCTCTTAGTGAAGGACAAGGCAGAATATATGATGAATTTTATGGTCCATCTTAAGATTCATTAGTTCATAATTCAGTCCTCTCATCAACAAGGTAAAAGTAAATTGTGTTTATCAAAGTGATGGAATTGTATAGCATTTCCTTTAAAAAAAAACACATCAAAATTGGCCCCATTTTTTTTTAAAAAGGATTTAAAGCTGTAAACTTCAGTGACTTGGAAAATTAGAAGGCTTTTCACCAGTGAAGGGGAATAAAACAACATTTATTTATATGCCTATATTTCTGTGCATCTGTATATATGGTTTTGTATTTATAGTCATTATGAGTCAATTTTTAGTTCTAAGTCTTCACAGAAAACAGGGGAATTAGAGAGCAAGAAAAACGAATCACGAAAGGCGCCATACCTTCCAGAAACTTACCCACACAGCGAGGTTCTAAACTATCCCACTGGGCGTTTCCTTGACAGGTCAGCTTAGCACTTCCTTCTAGTCTGTACCCTTCATTGCAGGTAACCAAACACGTTGTCTTGTAGGACATTTCCCCTGTGGAACAGCTCAGGCGGCCATGTCTGGGTTGGCGGAGACGAGGGCATGTTCTTACTATATAAAATGAAAACTATTAGATCACATGTTACTGAATAAGGACAAAAATGATCATTATAAGTTTAATAACGCTGACACATTGCAAGCAAGAAAAGGCCCTTTTCTTAAAATGGCAAAGAGCAAAACATACCATTATTTTTTGAGTTAGTGCTAGACAATTAATAGCCTGTGTTTTACCAAATGCATTGCCCAAGCAATCTCACTGTGTTCAGCCATCTACCCATAGATAGGAAACTTAAGCTGTCTCTAAGGAGTCTGGTCCTAAATCGGGGGTGGGGAACCATTTTTCTGCCAAGGGCCATTTGGATATTTATAACATCATTTGCAGGCCATACAAAATTATCACCTTAAAAATTAGCCTGCTCTATTTGGTCAGACATTTAGTTAACTCACCCCTAATGCCTTGGCAGGGCCAGACCAAATGATTTCGAGGGCCCGACATTCCCCACCCCTAACCTAAATGGATGATGATGCCTATAGACAGGGGGTGCTTGACAAAGGCCTTGGCTGTGATTTTCCAGGCTGTATTCCAACAAAAGGAAGCGGACAGAGATTCCAGGTTGATGAGCAACTCGATTCTCAGATCTCATGGGCATGTCCTGGGGCTTTTAATGATCCCAGGATCTGCAAAGCAGCTCAACCCTTGCAATCTTAAATTCCAGTATTCTATCCTCTGACGACAACTCTTGTCCTTTTAGCATTTTCACTCCATTTTCCCAGACATTTACTGTAAATCCTAGATCATGATGCTATCTTGATGTAGGCATTAACATTGATTTGTTTGTTTTTTTGCTACTCCAGCGAAGAATGCTACTTGCCCACCCCAGAAGCATTCTTCCTAGTTTATTCAGCATAATAATATTCACAGCTAGAAGACAATTCCCCACTTCCATCACAAGAAATGACAGTCAATGAGAGAAAAGCTGAAGTTGTGTGGAACTTCTGGACAAGTTTTTTAAAGGGGACTGTCTCAATTGAGAGAGTACTTTTTTGCCTTCCCCTTCCTTCTCCTTTTTTGTCTTAAAATACAGACATGAGGGATAGTACTCCAGCATATTATAGTATAAGTATAGGCATGCGACTCCTGTCATACACAGAGATATGAGGAGGGAAAGAGAGTGGATTCCTGTTGAATATGTCAAAGGGTGGGTGCATATAATCATTTTAATAGTTTACAGATATAATCCTACGGCATCAGGAATTATACAAAAACCAAAAACAACTCCTACAAAGGAACAAAGTTCAGTTTGCTCTCAGACAGCACTACTGCAACACAAAAGGCCAGAAGGTGACATAGCAAACTCTAGACATTTTTGAACAAAATCATTTGGATTCAATTTTATTGGGACTCTGGGTAAAATGTATTTTTTTCCTTTCTTTTACTTTTCTGCATTTTCCAATTTTTAAATATCAAACACATATTTATTTCTTATGAAAGCTTAATTTTAAAATAATAGGAAAGAAAGCTGGAGCAAATATTCAGTGTATATTCAACCAAAGTCATTTTTTAAATAAAATATACTGTGAAGTAACCCATTCAAATGATATTAGTCAACAGAGCATAAATACTGGGTGCATTAAATGTATGTTTAGGATTGATTGCTCCTTAGAGAAAATTCAAGAATTAGATGAAAGGGGAAGCCATAAAGCCTAGCTTTTTAGTCCCTGGGATGGTTTGAAAAAAGTCAATTATCAATGACAACAAAACAGAAATCTTTTGCCTTCCACACTGGATTTTTATTAAGTGTGTCCATCACATAAGTAGAATCTTTATTAAATGTGTATATCAAGGTTATTTTGCCTTCCACATTCTGACTTTCACTGAGTGTGTCCATCATGTGTAGCATAATGCCAGGTGCTAGGAGGGATTAAAAGATGAATAAGATAAATTCCTGCCCAGCTGGTGTGGCTCAGTGGTTGAGCATTGACCCATGAACCAGGAGGGTTGATCGATTCCTGGTCAGGGCACATGCCCAGGTTGTGGGCTCAATCCCCAGTAGGAAGCATTCAGGAGGCATCATTGACCTCTCTCTCTCTCTCTCTCTCTCTCTCTCTCTCTCTCCCACACTTCCTCTCTGAAATCAATAAAAAATTAAAAAAAATAAGATAAATTCCTATGATCATGATACATAAAATCTGAAAAAATATATTAAACAACTGCTTTTAGAGTCAATATACTGCTTAAATCACTCTGGCTTTCCAAGCGGAGACAAGATGGATTTACAACATCTCTCAAGAGTACTGAGAGTAAATTACATTTGGTGTTTCATACACATGCAAATTATATTGCTTCTCATATGTTGGTTTTAATAAGTTTTCAGTGTTCCTCAGGGAAAACAAAGGATTCAATAATTCCTATTTAGTCTTCAACATTTTATACTCCTTGTCAATCAAGAATGGCCATTTATTATCATTTTTAATAGGAACATGCTTATTTGTTTCAATTCCGAAAAACTCTACAAATGTTTCTTGACTTACATTCATGTTAAAGCAATCCTTAAATATAGTCTTTTTAGAAAACAGCAATATAGTCTGTTAGAGAATAGTCTACTATGTAGTAGATAATGTAAGATCTTCCTCTGGTTTTCATTTAAAAGATAATTCGATTTTCCCCAGACACACACTTCCTGTCAACCTCAAATTGTGATAGTATCCGTACTAACAATACAATAAATCTGATGTTAAGTGTAGGATTCTCATTGTTGTTTGAACCCTTTTCTCAGAAAAAAAATACCTCCATAAAATTTGATGTACTGTGATGTTGTGGTATAACTAGTTATTATTGAGAAGCCACAAAGGAATCCTTACAAGTTGGATTCAGATAAAATTGAAAAAGAGTATAAGTCCTTATGAAGAGTATATAAGAGGAATAAGAATCAGTATCTAACACTATAAAATATTAATGATGTAACATTACATGTGTAAAAGGCTTTATATTTTACACTGGTCTTTCATTTTAGCCTCAATATTATAAACCTTTTTAAGAAAAAAAGACACTAACATTATTTTCTGTCCTTATAATTAGATTTAAATTAGATCTGTAAAATATTACTCTCTCCATACTACCCAGCCTGAAAAGAAGTGAATGGCCACACAATGACCACTTTTCATTTAATTCCAGATGCCCCAACTATAAGGCACACCATAATTTTGAGCCACTAATAAAGAAATGATAATATCTATAAACACTTAATGCCACTATAAGATGCATCTCAGGTTTAGAGATATTTAAATATGGGGGGAAAGTGTTTTAGAATTAATGAAATATGCTTTTTCATAGAACAATAAGTAATTAAATCCCTTAATGATGAGCCAGAGGAAGAGTCTGAATAGGAAATATCTCCATTCAGGACAACTTTTTACACTGGAAAGTTAGGTAGATGTCTTTGGGAGTGAAATTGAAGGGATCTTAGGAAGATCCACTGTCCTGTAGCATATCTCCTTCTTTGACTAACGTTCTTTTATTTAATAATAGGATACCAACTCAAATAATATAAAAGAGAACAAGCCTTTTAAAAATGCAAATGCATAATAGGAAGTGACACAAGCAGATCATCAAGGTGCCTATTTATCAATGTACTTATCAATATGTGTATTTGTTCAAGTGTTCAATCATTCACCAGAGGTATAAGCAAGAATTGAAGGGGAAAAGGTATATTCTGTGCTCACAATGAACTCCGTCTAACTGAAGTGAGAGAGTGTTAAATAATAAAAGTAAGTGTGGTGGTCTGTATTATAACAAGTTGGCTCAGCTGAGAAACACCTTTTCAAAATCTCCTCACGTGGACCAGGTAAGGGTTGGTCAAAAGAACTTGCACTAGATTTGGAAGGTGGGAGGAGGAGTACCCATTGTATCTAGACTCAATGATAGACAAATGCAGACATGTCCTATGGGTCCCAGCTTGTCTTTGCTCGTTTCCACCCCACATCCTGACTGCTGACACTGTTAGCCAAAGGTGGCGCCAAGTTCATGGCTGGCCGGGTTCGTGGCTGTAGAGCATCAGGGTGTGGCTACACAGAGGCAAAGCTTCTTAGACTCCCCAACACATTTCTCCCTTGTGTTCCATTTCAGCAGCTGGACGGCTTGGATTCTCATACTGGACTGGCAGTTAACTTCTCTGATACTCCAACTTCTCTTCTGGAACTTCCATTTTCCAGCTCCTTCCAAAATTGTGTGAGGTCTGATTCCTAAATCAGTTCCTTATCCCCCAACGTGCATGGTGTGTTTCCTGTGCTTTCCTGCCTGACCCTGACACACAGAGCACAAGGGCTAGAACGAGTGGAGGACAGGCCTGTGGACGCACATGCAGAGGTTAAATGTCACCCCTCTAAGCCAGGGAGGAGGTTGGCAACGGGGAGGGTTTCTACATAGGGACCAAGAGCAAAGGCAGGATGACTGAACAATCAAAGCTGTGGGAACAAAGGGATGGCTTCCTGAGAGGGCGTGGCCATGTCTTCTGGATGCTAGTGTAGGATGTGGATTGTGGGGGATAAAGAGAAAGGGCCCGTCCTTATCCTAAGGGGGTTGTCCACCTGCTTTTCTCACTCTCTTTGGAAGGCCAGTAAGTGGAAAGTTAAAATGTAATGTTTTCCACCCTCTACAATGAGGTCTTTGGAAGAAGGCGTAGAGATTTTAACTGTTGACTTTACAGGAATATTTCTTTTAAATTTACATGCCTTTTTTCCCCCAATTACAGTTTGCATTCAATATTATTTTGCATTAGTATTGGGTGTATAGCATAGTGGTTAGACAATCACATACTTTACAAAGTATTCCCCCTGATATTTCCAGTCCCTACCTGGTACCATACATAGTTATTATGATATTATTTACTAAGAGATTTTCTATGATTAACTTTTTCAGTAATGGGATGTGACCTTTTACCATTAGAAATCATGTGACTGAAAATGTCTTCCCACATAAAAAGCAGCTTGTCTGAATTTAGAGATCTAGAGTCTACTGCTTTTGTCTTCTAATATTTGGAATGGCTAGTAAGGGGCAAAAGTTTCTATTTTTCCAGGGCATTCAGAAATTTCACTAAGATTATTTCCAGACATGGATCTGTTTTTAAGATTTTTTTTCTGGCACACAGCAAGTGATTTTAAACTGAACATCAAAGATTTTTAATTGTGTGTATTTTCAAGATTTCTGATTAGGGATATATTATGTAATCTTCTGTTAGGGTTTCTCCTCCACTCCATTCTCTTTCTGGATTCCTAATACAAGAAGAGTCTATTTCCTGTGACTATTCTCATGTCTCTTTAGACTTTCATATATTTATTTTAATCTTTGAAATTTTGCCCTATTTTCAGAATTTCATGAGTTGATTTTCTAACTTATTAATTTGACTCTTAACTATGTCCACTCATTGTGTCAGCAATCTTTTTGTTTGTTTCCTAAGAAATATTTTTGCGTTCAGATTACTCCCATTTCTTGGAATTCTGGTCTTATTTTAGTAATGTAACTGCCTTTGAATCTCAGAGATTCTATGTTTTCCCCTTTCTTTCAGGTCTCCTTTGTTCAATTTTCTGATTCTCTTCATTTTTTCCTTGTCTTTTCGTAGATGTAAATGAGAATCTGGACTGGGACCTGACTTAGACAAATTCACATTTATAGATGGGTTCATATCAGTAGCAGATAAAAATAAACAGAGGAGGTCTCCTGGGGTTCACATATGACCTTGCGGTGGTGGGCTTCCCTTCTGGGTGCTGGAGCCAAGAGAAGACCAGAAGACAGAACTCCTTACCCTAATCCAGTGAGCTGAGCGATGGGGGCGGGGGGGGGGGGGGGGGGGGTGGTCTGGGAGCAGTCAAATCCTCAGCAAAGTGTATTGCCAAAGGATGCTGCCAAGGGGATGGGGATAGGTTGCCAGATTCAGAAAACAACAAAATGCCACAAACAAATTAGGATATCTAGTTAAATGTGAATTTCACAAAAATCAACAAATAATTTTTAGTATAAGTAGATTCCAAATTTGGTATTAGAGTTATACTAAAAAAAATTATTTGTTGTTTATCTAAAATTCCCATTTAACTGGGGGTCCTGTATTTCATCTGGCAGCCCTAGATAGGGGGTGAATACTGTCTTCAGCAGCTTCATGGGCAAGGATTCTCAAGTCCTTCACCTTGTTCCCCTCTTACCTTTCCTTTGATAGCTTTCTCTTCCAACCCTACTGGTGAAACCTTAGGAAGTTGCCCATGCAACAGTTGTAAGAAGTAGGGAAGTTGATCACAGAGATGGCAAGATTGGAAGTGAACTTGGGTACCATTCTGTTTGTTGTTTCCTTGTATTTAATGTGGGATCCTTAGGTTCTACCCGAGTTACTGTCCCCTTTTCTATGGGCCTGACTGCTCTTTGAGATTTCCCTTTAGCAAATTCCCACTTTCTCTAGCACGCTGCTATTCCAAGTGCAGGTTAGAGATGGGTAAGTTAGCTAATTGCTCCTACTGCAGGCTATTGGTGTGGTTCCCTAAGTCCCGCGATCACAGCTGGCACCAAAATCCCCTCTGATCATCCCAAAACTTCCCCTGGCACCCAGTCTTGGCTGCTTAAAATCCGAGGTTTAGGGTAACCTGTCCATTTCCTTCCCAGGCAGGCCCTTCCTTTGCTTGTTCACAGAAGAATTATAAAGGGCATGATTCATAATGATGTGGTCAATTGAACTTAGTAGTTCTAACTTCAAACTTCCTATAATTTTTTTTCTTTCTGTGGTCTGTGGTCTATGAAATTAAAAGAAACAAAGAACTTACTGGTCCATTAGAGTTTAAGTCAAGGAACTCAAGCAAGACAATCAATAAACAATGTGAATGGGTAATCTGCATACCTTTGCAGGAGCTCTCTGAACCGGACCACAAACCATTGGGTTGACACAAGCGGATGCTGCTTCCCACGAGGTCAAATCCAGGGTGACATCGGACCCCACAGGCTGCATTGAAGTGGTTGTGGCAAGTGTTTTGGATAAAGTAACCGTTTTCTGGAGGCTTCAGGGCAGGGCAGTGCACAACTAATGTTTATAAAAGTAAAATGAAAAAGCAAAGTTAGCCTTTGTCTGTGAAGCATCCACTACCCCCCACTTTTGGGGGACAAATTTAGGGTGACGTCGGACCCCACACACTTCTTTGGTTTAAGAGGACAGTTTATAGATACGGCTAATTTACCCACCAAATTCCCACTTGCATTTGAATTTCTAAGCGCGTACTGTATCTGGAAGAACCCATATATCTAATTTCCACTGGGTATTTACTCCCACTTAAAATTTAAAAACAAATTAAATATTATTTGGTATCCTTTAAACATTTTTATTTTGATGTATATTTGGATATAAAATTTTCTAGTTATTAGCCTTCCTATGCCATTAGTTATTTTCTTTCTTAATTAAGGTTGCATGAAATAAAAACCAGATAAGGCCAACAAAGGGGTGTCTGCTTCAAATCTCAAGAGTCACAGTTTCTTGTACATGTTATAGGCTAATTAAATGTTTTTAATTTTTGATATGAATAACACTGAGACACTTACTCTACTTATAAAAATACTTTCTTTAAATGAATTTAACTATCACCCAACTTGTTTGTTACTCAAATTTGTTGTTAAAAAATTTTGGCTTTTTTCTTTAGATTCATTTGAGATCTTTTCCAAGTGGGTAAATCTTTCTGTTTTCATAGTTATATTACTCCTGGCTCAGATCTCCTTTCTCCGGAGCAAGAAACGGGTGTTCAGTGATAAGAAATGCTACTTAATAAGAGCAAAGACTCCCCCCACCTGATATGATTAGAGAAAGAAACACTAAAGATCGTTTTTAAATGAATTGGATGAAAATACCAGCATCCTATCCCTCCAAGAGACCCATTTTTCTATTTCCTGTTTGCCCAGGGCGGGCAGGCTTACCCTCGCAGGTCTGGCCGGATGCCCGGTAGCCCTCTTTGCAGACGCAGTCCTCAGGGGACGTACTTCCAGGTGGAGAGGTGTGATTTTCATCAGGACACGGAAGGCAAGTGCTGATGCCCCCTGGCACACCTTCTGGTTTGAATGTCCCTGGCGGGCAAGCTGTGGGCAGGCCAGAGAAGTCCATTTTATGTGGTGCATCAATTGATAATTAGCAACATTTTTGAGACTAATTAGAGAGAAAAACCAAACAACAGCTTTTCATAGTAAAAATCATATAATTCAAGAAAGGACAGTTGCTACGTTTGTTTTGTTTTGTTTTGTTTTTTAAAGAATGATGGAGTTTGTTATTTGCAGGTTATGAAGTGGCCTGTTCTGTCCCACAATTAGGTACAATTACAACACAGCACAGCATGATATGTCTGAGCTTTTTTGTGGGAAAACTCCAAATAGCAATGCATATAAAGGGACTAAAAGAAACGAATGACACTGGCTGCATAAAAACATCATCATAATAGGTATGCTCCATATTCCATCTCTGCCCCCGCTAACCTGTGTATCTTCATCTTCCCCACTGCACCCCCAGCACCCTCTCCCAGCAGATATGCAAAAAGCACTAAGCCCATACTTTCTGTTCTGAGACCTTGACAAAGGACAGGAGAAAGTGAAGGGCTTGAGGAAGATAATTCAACTGATGGGAAATAGGCCCTTTGAAGAAACAAGAGTTAGAACCTTGTTTTCCCCAGGCTGAAGAAAAAAAAGAAAAAAACATTAAAAGCAGGATCTAACTGACCTTGCTTCATAGCCTCCCTTTGCACTGACAACATGGCTTTGAATTTGTCACTTATTCTCTCTGGAGTTACACATCTATAAAATAACTCAAAGTTAAGAATTCAATAGTGAAGAAATTGTGGAATAAAGGGACTGGCAGTGCTCAGTTATTTCAATTGAATGTAGCTCAGTCAAGTATGCATTTGATTCTTTAAAAACAATAGCAACTAAGTACTGTGCATCAATATGATGACATCTTATGTAAACTCAGTTAATCCTCACAGTTTTATAAGTAATATTAATAATTACAATGTTGTTACTGAATGCATTAATTTAATTGTTTTATGACAATTTTAAAGAAGAGAAAATGAAAGCTTAAAGAGATATGAAGACTTGACTAATATTACTCAATTAGTAAGTGACAGAGCTAGAATTTTTGTTTAGACCATAACATTGATTTACTGGTGAATTTTTATGACAAAAATTCAAAATTACATGTATCTTGCTCTTAATTAGCAAGTCAAATATTTTTTTTTCTTATTTGGGGTAATTTATTTATTTATTTATTTATTTTTTTAATTTCAAATATTTTTAAATGGTAGCATACTCCCTCTTTCTATTGTTATTTGTTTAAGGCCTATTTCGAGGTAATAAGCTTTGACTTATTTATTTTTTTAAAGAATTTATTTTTTTAAGGTTTACAATAAAATTGAAATAAAGGTTGCAGTCGCAATTTAAAGAAAATATTGATGCAGCATTTATTATGTCCCAAGGACTATTCTACGTACTTTAAATATTATCTTTTTAATCTCCTTAAGGACCTATGAAGCAAATAATATTATTAATCTCAATTTATAGATGAGAAAAGTAAGGTACCAAGAGGTTAAATCACTGCCAAAGTTACACACTGAGTAAGTGGAAGAATTGGGATTTGAACCCAGATTATCTGGATCCAAAGGCCATGTTTTGTTTTTTTTTGGTAATCCTCATCTGATTTTTGGAGAGAGTGGAAGGGAGAGGGAGAAACAGAGAGAGAGAGAAACATCGATGTGAAAGAGGTACATTCATTGATTGCCCCCCACACAGTCCCAATGAGGGCCGGGGATCGAGCCAGCAACAGAGGTATATGCTCCAGAGCAGAACTGAACCTGGGACCCTTCAGTCCGAGGGCCAACGCTCTATCCACTGAGCCAAACCAGCTGGGGCCCAAAAGGCATGTTCTTCACTACTGCATGTGCTGTGCCTCAAACCAAGGTTTCCTGTCTTAACCATTATAATATGCTAAAAATATAATCATTATTGAGAGACAAGGTTTATAACATAATGTAATTATTAGAAAAATAACATTCTAAAATTCTTAATTATATTTTAAAACAGGATAACATTGTTGCATGACATATAGTAGAAAATTCTAGAATTAGATTGATTTATTATTATTTAAGAATGAGAAACATTTTAAAATAATTATAATGATAATATGCAAAATGCTTCAGCAGAAAGGGAACATTGCTGCAAAGCATGATATTAAATATTGAATTATTATTGAATTATTCATATTACTGAATATTTCTTTCTAGAAAAAGTTCAATAAATATTTGTGCAGACCCTCAAGAAGATGCAAGACTACATGATCTCCTTTAAACAGATATCAGTAGCTGTAGGAGAAAATGATTAAGTTGTAAATGCACAAATGGAAAAGAAAATATACACTGTAATACAAAATTAAAATTGTCATTGGATGCAGTAAAAAGAAGCCGTAAAGCTCCAGAACAACAGAACTGAGTAGACTCAGGAGAAGTAATAGTTGTGATATTAATGCAAGTATTTATTCCTTACCTGAAGCTTAAGAGGAAAAAAACAAAAACCTCATCAAATTCTAGGCAAAATTAATAAAAAGTGATTCACACCCAGGATAAAGAAAAGTATCACAACCATCTAGGTAAGAAAAACAAGTTACTTACAAATGGGAAAGTCAAACTGATATTTCATTTTTCCTGTACAAAAACAAATGCCAGGAAAAAGATATACAACTACATGGGAGAATATTATAAACCCCAATTCCATTTCTGAGCAAGTTATTGGTAAATATGAGGAAAGAGAAAGACATTCGAGGATATGTATGATTTCTGGAAATAAAGATGTATTTCACTGATTGAAAATAAAGAACTCAGGACATGGACAACAGGGGGATGGGCATGAGTGT